TTTTTTTTTTGAATATGTAGTTCTTTTTTATTGAGAGTAAATTTTAGATACTGCAAAATTCATGTTTCATCATATGTAGCCTCTTCTTAAGGTGCTTTCTTTTTGTGTTTCAGGTTGATATTTAGATTATTCCTAATTGAAATTTGAGGTGTTATAAGCTTGGAAATTTTCAGTACACTACCATGTTTTACTCATTTAGATTTTGCTTTCAGTTTTGATTGCATTCAGAAAAATTGAAACTAATTAAATGATAACTATGTTGGTATTGAGAGAGAATAATTTGAAAGCAATTTGATCTTACCTGTTTATCTAACAGCTGCTAAGACAGGATGAGGCGATGTTAGGTATGCTGATGAAGCCTAAGCGTCCACAAGCTGTTGTGCTATGCCCCACAAGGTAGCTTTCTGAGCAGTTCTTAATTACAATACCATTTATACATTAGAGCTTATTCAAACTCTGGATTTCACCTTTCAATCAATAAAATTAGTAGACTTTTTAGGTTTTTTTGTGTGGCAAAATCTATTAGTCATCACGCACGATTTAGGTCTACCATGGTCAGTGGTGGAGGCGAGTTGAGACCACAAGAGGATTCATTGAATAATCCAATAGAAATGGTTGTTGGGACCCCTGGCAGGGTTCTCCAACATATTGAGGATGGGAACATTGCTTATGGTGACATCAAATACTTGGTAAGTGTGCTTATTATATATTCAAATAAATATATTAAGTAGAATAAGCTGGTCTGATATCCTAGATAAGCACATTTCTCACTAGTATCTCTAAATGTTGCAAACTTTTATAAATTTAGTACAATTGATGATGTTGCTAATCCTTAGTAGGTTCTGGACGAGGCAGACACAATGTTTGACCGTGGCTTTGTACCTGACATTCCCAAGTTTCTTGGCCCACTAAAACATCATGCATCAAAATCCAATGGCCATGGATTTCAAACTATTCTAGTTATTGCAACAATGACAAAAGGTTTCCCAACTTTCATTTTTGTTGAAATTAGTTTACTGGATAAGTTGTATGATACTTTGAATGTAGATACATCTTCTTATTTGCAATTTCCAATCACCAAATGATATATACAAAGTAGTTTTGTTGATATCCATTTTATCTTACTGTTTTTTCTCACTATTAGATACCAACTTAGGTCCACAGCACTTTTAAGTGGTTTTGTAGTAGTGAGAACTTCAAGTTACTGATCTTTTTGAGGTTTTCCAAGTGGTACAGAAGCTGGTTAATGAGGAATTTCAAGGAATAGAACAGTCACAGACATCAACGCTGCACATAAAAATAACATCTGCTTGCCATGATTTCATCAAACTATCAGGTTCCAAAAACAAGCTGGAAGCATTGTTGCAGGTCTAATTTGTGATACTTTCTCATTAAACCTGGTTTTCCTCTGCATTTGAGCATTCTGATGAAATAAGGGTAACTCACAATGGCATCATTTTGATGTGATAACAGGTTCTTAAGCCCAGTCTGGCTAAGGGGAACAGAGTAATGGTATTCTGTAACACATTAAGCCTTAGCTGTGCTGTTCATCACTTCCTTGGAGAAAGTCATATCTCCACTGTTAACTATCATGGAGAGGTTCCAGCATAACAAAGGTGAGATAACACTGTGTGTATACATGCTAAATGTAACATAGGGAATGAAACACTTGGAGGCATGTAATGCTCATTCAAAGTACTCTCCTAAATAATTTCTTTGTAAACTCTGGGTAGAAAACCTTAATAAGTTCAAGAGTGATTGTGGAGACTGTCCCACATTAGTCTGCACGAACTTGGCTGCTAGAGGACTGGACTTGGATGTTGATCATGTTATAATGTTTGATTTCCCCTTGAACTTTGTCAGCACTATATTGGGTGTCAGGTTGTTGAAATTTCTCCAGACCCTGTATTCCCTCACTTCCTTTCTCCCTTATTTCCTTGTGCTTAGAGATTTTTATCTTACTTTGTTTTTATTTTCCTTTTAGATTGACTACCTTCATCACACAGGGAGAACTGCTGTATGGGTGCAAAAGGCTCACTTCCTTTCTCCCTTATTTCCTTGTGCTTAGAGATTTTTATCTTACTTTGTTTTTATTTTCCTTTTAGATTGACTACCTTCATCACACAAGGAGAGCTACTCGTATGGGTGCAAAAGGTTTGCAAGTGTATAACTTCAATTCAATGCACTACCCTTTTCCCTTTGTTAAAAGAACAAATAAGCGAAGTGTTATGTATGTGAATGTTAGATGCTTAGTCAAGTATCTTATAACTTGTTCTGCCAAATCAATATCTTATAATATCTCTAACCAACTTTTTCAAATAGAATCTGTCTATTGATAATAACCTTTATAGGAATTTCCCAGGGGAAATCTTTTATTTTGTAACATATTGCCCTGATTCCAAAGAATTAGCTACTTAATGATTTCATTGAATACTTAAAGCACTTAGGCTGGGTTTGGTTTGTCAAAATTTAATGTAATACTGTGCTATTTAATTCTACAAGAACCAATCAAATTATAATGTTTGAAAAATACTAATTTGATTGGTTCTCCTAGAATTAAATAGCTGGGTATCACATTACATTGTTGGCATATCAAACCCAACCTTCGGATCAATTTTCCCTGGCCCTTGAACAGGTATTTTGTGTGAACTATGTAGACAATTACTTGGGGCGGTACTGTGAATCATGTGTGTGGACCCTTTTGTAGATGATGCCATATCTTCTTTCTCCCATTTAAGATGCAAAGGGATTCATATAATGATGAAATATTGTTAAGATTTGTGGCAATTTTTGTTTTTGGTTTCTAAAAGAGTGGAGGGATTTTTCATCAAGTTTAAATATCGTACTTTTTCTCTTTTCAGGGAAAGTGACGAGTTTGGTGGCAAAAAAGGACCTTTTGTTGGCTGAACGGATTGAGGAAGCAATAAGAAAGGATGAGAGTTGGGAATCTCTTACTGCTGTTATTGTCCGGAGGGATGTTGCAAGGGCTCGAATGACTGAGCAGAAGGGGAAGAATGCTAAATTGATCAAGGTGTCAAATCAGAAGAGTAAATCTTTGTCTAGCCATACATCAGGAAAGAAGTCATCATCTGCGAAATCAGTAAAGGCATCTTCTCCAGCAAATCCTTCAAAATCAAAAGTAAAAGCATCTTCTCCTACAAAACCTTTGAAGGCAAAAGTTAAGCTGTCAAAACCACTGAAGTCTGAAAAATCATCTTCAGTTGGAAAGAACAGAAAGTCCAGTGCCTTCAATTCTACAGCTGGAAAACTTAGTCTTGTTGGGTTTAGGGGACAGGCTGCTTCATTGAGGCCTCCATGATCCTTCTCAAATTTCTCAATCAACTTGTAGATAAATGATTCTCTCAAAAGTACATATAAGTTTTTACTTTAAAAAATAATTAAAATATTAATTTTAAATTATTTTATTTTATTTAATTAAAACTTAATTTAAAATTTAAAAAATTATCTTATTAAATGTTGATATATTAAAATTTATAATAAGTTTTCAAA